TTTACTGAATATTCTAAAAGTGTATCATTTAAAATAAATTTTATGATAATTCACTCCAATGCATACATTTCAAAAAATTAAACTGGATGAATTCTAATTAAACCTATAATTTATATATCAATTTTGGTAAGCATATTTTCATATGAAGACATCATTTGAGAAAACAGTTTAAACTTTTAAAATTATTTAGGTCCTGTTTTCATTGTCTTTAACATGACATTTTTATTTTATTTATATATATATATATATAAATATATTTATATAAAAACAACTCAGGTTAAATATATTGTGAATTTTAGTAGAAATAGTTTTACCACCTGTAGTTGAGAGGGGGTGGTATAGACCCAGAAGTGGCTATAGACCCAGGCTGCCTGGATTAAAACTGGATTTGACATTTCCTTGCCCTGTGATATTATACAAACGAATTAACCTTTCTCTGCCTATGTTTCTACAAATGGAAAAAAAAAAAAGGTGATAATAAGCATACCATTCTCATTTGAGGATTTAATAAGCTAATAAATGGAAAAAGCTTAGAATAACCTGGAACAGTAAGTGCTCAATAAAGTTTAACTAGTATTATCATTATTTTAAAATCAGATGGTTTTCCAGTTTTATTTAATAAACGATCCAAAATAATGAGTTATATATCTGTGAAAAATAGTTGTTCACAATAGGAATATGAGATATGCTATTACCTCTTTTATGTGAAATCATTCTCAGGACATAATCTATTTAGAAAGGCATGCATTCAGCATCAGAAAAGCACATTCAGCATCTTCATACAAATAAGGAGCTATCAACCATTGCTCAAGATTTATAAACCTCGCACCACATTTCATGGCTTAGCAAGAAAAGTTAAGTCCAGGCAATCAGCTGTTGCGCTCCCTCGCAGCTGGGTGCCTTCACAGAGGACACACAGGGCAGAGCTCCACTCGGGAGCCCTGGGGGGAGGTTTTCAGACATCTCTGCTTCCCTCCTTAAACTTTTTTTTTTAATTTAACTATTTTTACGATGTTACTTACATATCCAGAATAACAAAACACATCCTTGTAAACATACAATCACATAAATTTTCATCTCTTTTCTAATAGCAACTTTTTTCTCTCAGCTATTTTTCACTTTCTCATAATTGTGCTGTGTCGTCCTTCATTTTGAAATACACTAAGATATTCAATAATCCTAAAATGCATATTTAAAAACACTGGCGTATAAGCTTCAGGAAATTTAATAAAAACACATGAATCAATGAATAAGATTAAAATGTCAACCATGTGGCTCATTTATGTTTTCCCAGGCAATCTTCAATCCATCATTCTTCAATTTGTGAAATATAAAAATTTAGATTCTTTGTGTCGATCAAGGTCACTTCTGCTCTATTTGCAGATGTACCAGGCAGATCATCATTTTAAAAGTCACATAAACCATTAGAGTACAATATATTTGATTTAAAAGAGGAGAAATTTTTTATTCTATTTTAAAACAAAACACAGAATAGTTACACTAAATGTAAGGTTAATTCAAGTTTTAATTGTTTCACTATTTTACATGACATAGAATTTTAAGTAATTAAATTGAGGCTGATATTTGTTAATTTATAGCTATAAAAACACACACTAGAAATATTATCTCACATTTATGAAACAAAAGAAAAAATCAAATCCAATAAAACAAAAAACAATTTATAAGTATAAAAATGTCTTTCAGTCAAGACATAAGCATCTATTAAATAAATCAATAATAATGAGAGGTTTTACAGGGAGATAAATGGATAAATATTTTAATTTTTAGTAATATGAACAAAGGCAAGATGTGATCAGTGGCAGAGGTGAGAAGGGAATATAAAAGTACTAACGAAAATTCTTACTCTTAGAAGAGGGAAGTGTATTATTTTCATAACAAAACTGCACACTGAACTCTAAAAAGCAATAGGAGAAAATCAAAGCAAAACAGCTATTTCTTCAGAGAAAAAGGTGACAAAAGTATATTAGATTACTTGGAAATATACTGAAATTCAATCAGCAGTTTGAACACTACATACATTAGAAGCATGAAGTAGATGATTTCAGTAAGTGGCTTTTCGTACTGATTCTACTCATGGAAATATATCCTCTATAACATTTTCATAGTCCAGTCTTTCATCTTGTGTTTATGGTTTTCTTCACCATAATTGCTATTATAATTTTTCAAAATGCATTTAAGAAAAAAAGAAATTATACTACTTCGTAGTATTACTTTTCATATTTGCCAAGAATAATTAAGTCCTTCAATGTTTACAGGGGTCAATCAAGTTTGATATCATTGATAGAAACTTTTTTCCCATGTAATACATGATAACTATCAAATACATTTGATTTGGGAGTTTAAACTGACTTCTAAATAACTACTAAGACTGTCCATAGGATACAAGTGCTGTAGTATTAGTTTCAATTAAATTAACACCAAATCACACTCAATTGCTTCAAGTTACAATGTGGACCTGCATTTTAAATTTCACTCTTTAAAATCAGGATAGTTTCCATTAACACTATTACAAGAACCACTGACCTTTTCTCTCTTTTTTAAAAAACACCATTTCTTTTAAATATTATTACTCTTTTAAGGTCTCATAAGAAGTGACAAGACTGCCATCTAGTGCTTTATGACTATTCCTATAACGTTTTAAAGAGACAGTGAGAGTCCTATATAATAGATGAGCTTCCAATATGGTAGTCACTAGTCAAATGTGTCTTGAGTAATTAAAATGTGACTAATTTGAATTGAGATTGCCATTAGTATAGTATACAAGCTGTATTCAAACACTTGGAAAAAATAAAAATAGGCCGTTGATGATTTTTTATACTATTATATGTTTTAGATATTTTGAATTAAATAAAATATATTATCAAAATTAACTTCACCTGTTTAATATTTGAGATATAGCTAGTAGAAAAATTTGAATTCCATATATGGCTTACACTAGTTTATTTGGATAGCACTGATCTAAAGAAAAATCATCTTAGCCTTAAATATAAAAGGCTAAAATATTAGTGCATTCATTATTTCTAAAAATGGAACGTAATTTATTTGTGTCCATAATTGTAACTATATTACTCTTTGGGGATATAATAAACACTAAACATTTAAGAAGAATCAAACAGGAATTTCTAATTTTAAAAAGTCAGACAAAAATATGTACTCATTAAATCCAGGATGTTTGAGAAAAGTAAATAAAATCTATGTGGAAAATATAGAGAACGAGGATATATTAAAACAAATAGAAAATAGACAATGTGAACATCATTAAGGACAATAATTGCAAGTGGACTGAAACATATGAAATATGTATGTGTCCATAAGTTTATGATACAAACACAGCAAACCTGAGTTGTAACCTTACTAAGCAAAGTATTCTTTATTTTGGAAACCGAAATATTTTTTTAAAAATATATTAAAAATGTATCGTGCCTTTCCTATGTGCCTCTAGCAATGATTAAGCAAATGCCTCGCTCAAGGAAATTTGTTTTCACGAAAGTTTTCCAATCAAGAAATAAAGGAGTAAGAATACCACAGCTTATAACCCCCAAATCAGCTGCAATCTAACACTGAGCATCAGTGTCTGCTAAGAACAAAAAAAGAGACTTGCAGGCATTATATGCTTCAGTTACATGAAGAACACAAAACCACCTGTCAAAGCATTTCCTCCAAAATCATATCTGAATCTGATTAAACCTCTAAATCAGGGTTTCTCAACCCTCGTGGTGTTGAAATTTGAGCCAGATGATTCTGGGTTCTAAGAAACTCTCATGTGTATTGTAGGACATGTATCAATAGCAACCTCTACCCATTAGAAGTCCACAGGATCCACACCCCATGCCTACTTGTGATACATAAAAAGCTCTACGAACACTGTCAAATGTCCCATAGACTACAAAAATATCTTACTAAGTTTGGGGAGTTTTATGCTACATTCTCAATAAAATTATAAAAAATAAATAAAACATGGGTTTTAGTAAGACTTACTTAATTGAAATCAAGAAAATTCTTAAAAAATTCAAAAAGAAGTTAAAATTGAACCACAAAATATATAGAAAATAATATTAAAAAGCAAACAAATCAAATGGAGGCAAAAACAACAATTACAAACTATAAAAGAGAAGGACATCACTAAGGACAAAACCTAAAGCAGAAGAACTAGAAAACAAAATCAGTGGAAACAATGAATAAACTCAAAAGCCCACATTTATATATGGAGGAAAAGAAGATGAACAACAACAAAGAATCTACCAATTAAAAAATGCCAGATCCAGAGATCTCAGTTAAATTCAGTTAGTCTTTGAAGTTCACTTCATATTGTTTAACTATTCTTGTTTTAAAACACAATCTTGTCAAATTCATCTTTGAAAGTTATTACCATAGTTACACAAAATGAAGTTAGAAAAGAAAAAACACACTTCGAATGGCTAAAATGTAAAAGACTATACGAAGTGCTGAGAGATTTTGAAGAACATACACTGCTGGTGGAAATGGAAAATAGTACCACCATTTGAGAAATGGTTTGCTTGTTTCTTGAAAGTTAAACATATAACTGCCATATCATCACTACCCAATAACAGGATCTTTCAGTACAAAATCAGTACTGCTTTTTAGTAAAACCAAAATTGCCTCCCAGAAAAATCTATCACAAAATTCTATTTGTTCAAAATTTAATCATAATGAAAAAGATTACATTAAAATCCAGCTGAGTTACTCAAGTTCTGTTTTTTGTTGCATGTTCAAAATAAGATCTACTGCTGTTTTACCCCTCAGAGTAGAAAAAAATGCACCAAATATTAATATAATTAGAGAATATAGCAAAGAGGCACTGACTTCCCTAGCAAAATATATGGAGCTATAAGATTCAAAAATAGAAAAAATAAACTATTAAAGACATTAGTTATTCAAAATGAATTTCATTACCTGTAAAATCACCTGAAACTAATAAAACAAACCAATTATCTAAAATAAAAAACACAAATACTTACAATAACATGTTCCTCTAAGTGGATTACCAACATAGCGATTTTCAGAGTCACATCTGTAGAAACACAAAGAACTCATTTACTATTAAATAACAAAATTCAAAAGCTTCATGTTTTTCCTTCAAGCAAACAAGTAATTAAACTCTACACTAAAACATATTTTAAAAGCTATACTATTAATTAAAGTTTTAAAAGCAAATATTCAAAAGAATTAATGTAGAAAGCCTATATGCAGACATGAGTGAGAGAATAAGTGGAAAAAAACACAGAATAGGAATATAAAGGATGCGATAAAATTATGAATTTAGGGGGTATGTATTCTTCCTTAACAACATGAAGAAGAATTTCCAAGTCTGGATAAAGATTTAAAGACATTTTTTTAGGTATAGGAAAGTGCGGGAATTCATAAATCATATCATTTTCTTACTTCTGGTAATTGAAATTAATATATTTTCCCCAGTTTCTAAACCAATTAATCTGTATTTTTAAGACATCCTCAATTGTATCATGAAGAAAAGCTTTCTTTAAATCATTCAAGATTAAATTCAGGAGTTCAAACTTTGAAGTCTTGTAAGCAGATTATAACAAAATGGAAGAACACGTGAGCATTCAGGCTCAAGAACTCTAAGTTAAATTCTTCAAAAATATTGTTAACTACATACAGAAGTAGGAGAAAATTGTAAGTATTCTGAAAATTTCTAAGTTTGTAGTTTTCCAATCCCTGTTTCCAGAATTCAGTTAAAATGACAATTAATGCCTAAAAGAGATATAGCTTGGTTTTGCATAATGCTACTTCTTGGAATGTCCTCCAAATTTAATTATTATAAAATATATACACACGGGTAACTGAATAAAGTGCCTCAATATTAAATTATATGTAGAATTTTAAAAAGCAAGAAGGTTCTTCCAGAAACATCTTTAGTTTTAGTAGAGTCAATTAGAACCGAGGAATACATATGTATTTTAATTAATGAAGGTCCAAACAGTTGAGAATAATAAAGTAAATAATCAGTTACATTCTGAATGCATTTTTCAGTCATGTGCTTGCTAATATTTTGTATCCATGAGAAAAAAAAAGAGGTGAAAACTAAATATTTTTCTACATTAACTACAAAATTATTATATAGTCCTTTATACCACTAACTTTATCCTCTGGAAAAAAGAAATTTGGGGGTACAGGTTTTCTTCAGGATATAGGTACCTCCAAAAGGCACTTTTAAAATCTGTGATATATAGTAGTTTTCTAGCTTTAGAAAAGGATGAAAGCCATTACTGCTGGGTCAAGCACTTCAGAGTCCATACTATTCCTATATTATTGTTCCTTCCTTTAGACTTAGCTCCTTAAATCCTACCACCTTATACCAAATATATACATATGCTAAAGGACTGATTTACAATACTGCTATAATTCCTTTTCTCTCACAAAAAGTAAACTTGACTTGTTGCAAATGGATAACTCAATATTGTGCTTCCCTGGTGCCTCAGATGCTAAAGAATTTGCCTGCAATGCATGAGGACCAGGGTTTGATCCCTGAGTTGGGAAGATCCCCTGGAGAAGGGAATGGCAACCCACTCCAGTATTCTTGCTGGGAGAATTCCATGGACAGAGGAGCTTGAGGGGCTACAGCTCATAGGGTTGCATTTTCAGAATAGGAAAACATTCAACATAATAATCCCTGCATTTTTTTTTCATTTATTTTTATTAGTTGGAGGCTAATTACTTTACAATATTGTAGTGGTTTTTGTCATATATTGACATGAAATAGCCATGGATTTACATGTATTCCCTATCCCAATCCCCCCTCCCACCTCCCTCTCTACCCGATCCCTCTGGGTCTTCTCAGTGCACCAGGCCCGAGCACTTATCACATGCATCCAAACCTGGGCTGGTGATTACACGCCAGTCAGGATGGCTGCTATCCAAAAGTCTACAAGCAATAAATGCTGGAGAGGGTGTGGAGAAAAGGGAACCCTCTTACACTGTTGGTGGGAATGCAAACTAGTACAGCCGCTATGGAGAACAGTGTGGAGATTTCTTAAAAACTGGAAATAGAACTGCCATATGACTCAGCAATACCACTTCTGGGCATACACACTGAGGAAACCAGATCTGAAAGAGACATGTGCACCCCAATGTTCATCGCAGCACTGTTTATAATAGCCAGGACATGGAAGCAACCTAGATGCCCATCAGCAGACGAATGGATGAGGAAGCTGTGGTACATATACACCATGGAATATTACTCAGCCGTTAAAAAGAATTCATTTGAATCAGTTCTAATGAGATGGATGAAACTGGAGCCCATTATACAGAGTGAAGTAAGCCAGAAAGATAAAGAACATTATAGCATACTAACACATATATATGGAACTTAGAAAGATGGTAATGATAACCCTATATGTAATCCCTGCATTTTTATGCATGATATTCCTTGCATATCTTATTGCCTAAATATTGAGTAGAGGACTTTCAAGTTCCCATAGCAATTAAACATGACAAACTTTGATAAACGACAAGAGATTTCAAATACTTTTTAATCTATCAATGATCTAACTTTAAAAGCTCCAACCCAAACCTATTTTCCAATATGGAAGTTATGAAGTTTTCATTCTTGTTATTAATAATTCATTTTTTCAAATAATCAATATAATTATAACATGTATACCTTCAACATAATATTTACAAGGAATACTTAAAATTGTATTTTCTTTAAACCACAAATTTTCTCAGAAGAATGAAATTATATGCTTCTGTTTAGGAAATAAATTCTGCTGGCTTTCATTACTCCAACTTAGAATTTTAAGAGAAATAAATTAACACGACCTTGATAAGAATAAAACTCAAAGGCTTTACAGAGTTCTTGAAGGTATCCAATATAAAAATGACATTCTCTTTTACATTTTCAAACTCAAAAAAATTAATTAGAAACATTGTCTAAAATATTTTATATTAATTATTATTGAAAAATGTTGAATGTAATAAAAGTACTTTCAAAATATGAGCTGAGTTTAAACACCAGTTTTTGGCATTTTAATTTCAGATCTCATTTAAAGAAACACCAGTGTTTACAAACATCTGAGGAAATAAATAGTTGCAAAGGAAACAATGAAATTTCAGACATAAAATTCACCTGGAAAAACACGAAAGTAGATATAAATAAACTGAAAGACGTTTCTTGTTTTTCATTAGGCTATCTCAAGATCATCAAGCTGGCAGTTAATTTCAAAGATAGTGATTAATTTGATCTAAGAAAAATTCTAATGAGCTTTAAAGGAGCTAGAAAAGTTGATCTTAATGTTCACATGCAGGAATAAACATACAATAATAGCTAGAAGCAATAATGAAAGGAAGGGTTTTGAGGGGACCTAGACAGAAAAGACATTAAAATATACTCAACATGTATATAATTAAAACAATATGGTAGTTGTACATCAATAGAAAGATAAATGGTACAGAACAGAAATTCCAGAAATAGGTACAGCTACTATTTACTAAAATTCTAGTGTATGATAAAAGCAGTGTTTTAAATGACTGAGGTAAAAGGATAGTCATCCTCTTACATAGTACTTGAGACAACTAGATAACCATTTGGAAAAATGTAAGATTAGATCCAATCCTCACACCACGCACACACACAAAACACTAAACATAATTATAGAAGTGCTATCCATTATCTTTGCTAAATTTTCTGGTTTATAAGTAAGTCACATGCCCTGCCCATACTCAAGGAAAGGGGATTATACAATAGTGTGTGAAGACCAGAAGGCAGAAATTATCAGTAATCACCTAAGGATCTGTCCACAATAATATTTTTGTTATACATAAAGTTTTTATTGTAAGATATTTTGATACAATTATTTGAGATATGAGTATGTATAATTTAATTCACATAATAAATAATTCAAGAAGCTAAAAATATTTGACTGAGGTCAAACTCAGATTATAAGGGGTAAAGAGAATATGAATGGAAAAGTATACATATAAATAATTCTTCAATTAGTATGGTACTATATAGATTAATAATAATTCTGTTATGTAAGCTAAGTAATGTTTTTAAAATTCAGAATCTTTCTGTATAAAGATTAGAAACAAACATTAAAGCCTTCAGAAGTCTTCTGCATGGCTTAATTAAAAACATAACTTCAAAGTATTTCTGTGTCTAAGCAAAGAGATAATCATCCTCTATTCCCACTAAGCAAACAGCCAGACTTTTTATAAAACAGACTTAGGCTGAAATATTCATTAGGGACTTTGAAAGGGTAAATATTATCATTACTTGGCACCTAAATAATGGTTACCATTTATTTATGTGATCATATTAAATCATAAATATCATTTTGAAAAAACAAACTATAAAATAATCCCCTATTTCTAAGTGTTAAAATATCACCTTTCATTTTGTTCCTACTGATGTAAATACATACATATATATATATATATATATATATATTACTGTAAAATATAATTTTTCTACTCAGAAGCTAAAGAAGGGTTAAATCTAATTGCTATAATTTGAAATATCATAACATAATATTTAAAACAACTGAGAATCTGGTAAATTTGTGTTTTTATAAAAATTATAAAAGTTATAAAAAGTAAGACACACTTGCTCTTGTTTTGCTTTTCCTCTAAAGGGACTCATAAAAATCATATATAAACAAAAAGATTATATTAAGTAACATCACAGTATCAATATTGATATCATACTTTTACACAATGTATCATAAAAATACAGACATGAATGTATGGTAAATCCTGAAATAGTAGAAGAGGTACACATTCTAAAACTGTAATGCTATTTACAGGCTTGAAAGTCCAGTCATAATAAATAGAACTAGCGAGGTAATTAAAAACTACTAAAAAGAGTACTTTTTTTTTTTAATACTTAAAAATATTGGAGAGCAAAGGGGTGAAAAATTACCAGGCCAAGATGCAGAGAATGATAGAATCCCAGGATGCTGAACCATTTCAGGGGCCCCTTTATCTCCAATTATGAATGGGAACAGCATATTACAGAAAAGGATTGGAGTCCAGGCACACCAAAGACTGGTAAAC